GATTTGTTTATTTATTTATACACTTATCAGAAAGAGAAAAACAGACATAGAGGGAAAGTAAGAAATCACCCCCAGGAGAGATGGCCACACCACAGTCCCTTCTCTACCATTCTTCTCTCAGAATTTTGGGCACACGTGTACATGCACCGTTTGTGAGTTTCAACACCAGGTCCAGGACTCAAGATGTGGTTGGCCACGTGGGAATCCAGCACCTTAACCACCACACCATCTGTTGGCCCTGTTCACATCCCTATATATATAGTTTATGTTTCTTGATTTCTTCTTTCTTTCTTTCTTTCTTTCTTTCTTTCTTTCTTTCTTTCTTTCTTTCTTTCTTCCTCTTTTTTCTTGAGAGAGAGATTTTTGCTATAGGGTGTGAGTGCTCACTGGAGAGACAGAGAGAAGAGAGAGAGAAATCACCCTCCAGGGAGGATGGCCATGCTGCAATCCCTTCTCCTCCATCCCCCTCTTGGGACTTGGGGCATGCATGCACATGTGCTTGGTGTGAGTTTCAAGCCACTGGGTCTAGGACTCAAACCACGCTCCACTATGTTGGAGTCCAGCAATGTAACTATTATGCCATCTGCTGGTCTTGTTTTTTGGTTTCTTTTGCTTTGTTTTTAAGTTTATTGATCTATTCCTTTGCAGTGTCAAATATACTGTGAATCCCCCAGAGACTATATTTTTATCTCACAGTTTCTTCATTTCTTTCACTATTTTCACGCTTTTCTTTAACCCTAGAGTATGTTTGCAATACATAGAAACCTTTTTTTTTTTTTTTTTTTTTTTTAAGACAGTCTTGCTATGTTGTGATCTTCCTGCCTCAGCTTCCTGAGTAGCTGGGGGAATATAGGTGCATGCCACTATACCCAGCTTTTAGGGTGAGCTAAGAATCAAATCCAAGCCTTCCATATGGCCTCAGGCTGCATTGTACCAGTGTCTACCAGAGGAAGCTGCCAAAGCCAGGCATATAGCCATTTTATTTTTATTTATTTATTTTGAGAGAGAGTTTTGGGTATGTGTGCTCACTGGAGAAACAGAGTGAGCCAGAAAGCAAAAAATCACCCTCCAGGGGAATGACCCTGCTCCAGTCCCTTCTCCTCCTTTGTCCTCTTGGGACCTTGGGCATGCATGCACATGTGTCCGGCATGAGTTTCAACCTGCTGAGTCCGGGATGTGAACCAGGGTCAACTATATGGGAGCCCAGTGCCTTAACCACTATGCTACCTGCTGACCCCCATATAAACATTTAAAAGTCTTTGTAATGGTAATCTCCAACATCTGTGTTACCATGGCTCCATTTATGGTATGGGTCCTGGCTATGGGTCATATTTTTCTGCATTTTCACTTGTCTAGTGATTTTTGACTGTATGCTAGGTTTAGTTGTCTTCCTTTAAAGAATATAGAAGTTCCTTTTGATAGGCTGTTAAGCTACTTGTAGATTGGTTTAATCCCTTTGAAGCTTATTTATGTCAACTTATTTATGGTAACTTTTGCTCTATGGCTAGGTTTAGCCCCACTACTTAAGCCTAACACATATGGGGACTACTTTGAAGCCCTGGGTATTCAACAAGAACTATTGGAACTCAGAGATTTCTTCCAGCCCTGTTTGAGTTCTGGTAAATGTTCACCCTGCTCCTCCTTGGCTGTTCTTTGCTAAGACTCATGGGAGTCTCACCCTATACATGTGTAACTTAGAATTCAGCAACAGACACAAGAGGCTCCTATGAGATCTCTGGCGACCTTTTTCTACTCTCTCTGTTCTGGCACCCACAGATTCCAGCCACTCTGGCCTTCTCTAATTCTGATCTGTTTCTTAAACTCAGTGAAAAGTCGTGACCTTGAGGTCCCTTCCTTACGCTGCAATTTATGAAGTGCCTCCTGGCAGGCAACTGGGTAATCACAGAGCTCTCTTCATGATTTCCTTTCCATCATAGTCTTCCAGTGACTGTGGTTCAGTTTTTGAGAACCATTGCTTTGTACATTTTGCCTAGTTTTCTAACACTAAACGGCAAGAGGGAGTCTGGTCCTAGAAACTCTTATCATGGCCAGACAGAATTCTATGATTTATTTATTTATTTTTTACTCTGTAGGACATGGTCTATAAAAACCAGAAAAAAAAACTGAGATCATGATGGTTTTTTGCACAAAGAACCTCAGTGATTTCCTATTAGCTATAGGATAAAAGTTCACAACACAGAAAGAGCAGGTTCTTATCCCTCTAAGCTCCATCCCTCAAGTATGAAATACCTCGCACACTACTGGGCACAGGAAGCAGCCAGGGAATAAATCCACCTCATTTGGAAATCTAGTAAGCTTTCAATACCTTCACATTCCTGCAATCCTGGTAGACTTTATAAAACATTCCAAAACATTCTGTTGTAACAAACAACGACAACAGCAGCAAAAGCATCAGAGTGAAGTGCTGAAAGGAAATAATGCAGTATTGCCCTGAATATACCAAGAATTGATTTTTGTAGATGTCTTTTTTTTTTTTTTTTTTTTTAGAGAGAGAGATTTTTGCTATAGGCTGTGTGTGCTCATTGGAGAGAGACAGAAAGTGAGAAATCACCCCCCTGGAGGATAGCCACGCCACAATCCCTTTTCCTCCATTCCCCTCTTGGGATTTTGGGCACGTACACACATGCTCCCGGTATGAGTTTCAAGCCTTCAGGTCTAGGACTTGAACCATGGTCAGCCATGTGGGAGCCTAGTGACAGAACTGCTAAGACATCTGCTGGTCCCAATTTCTGCAGATGTCTGTGTCACACTTAGACTCTGCTTCCTGGTATTGGGAGACATCCAGTTGTGCTGCTCATCAGCAGCAGTACCCAACTGTCTTGAGGATGCAGTGTTGGGCTCCCAGGACCCTTCTGCTAACTAGAGAAAGTTGGGGGACTTTTACCTTCCAGAAAGGCACTCTTAATTTGTTGAAACACCACATAGAGAAACACCAGGGGTGTAACTGTACATCACAATGCTCTCTGGGTCTTTAGACAAATGAGAGGCTGTGGAGCCTGCTGGCCACAGCAGTGGAATTTACTGGGCATGTACCATGGATCGGTATGCCACATGTTCTCGGTCATCCAGTCCTTATGGTTTGGCAGCAGCCATGCGCTTGCTCATTGTGTGGCATGTTGGTATTAATACCACCATTTGCTCAAAAAAGATCTCTGTGTGTGGCTCCTGGAAGCCCAGGGACCTAGAGAAGGACGTGAAGAGGAACTAAGGAGCTAGCCACTGTCAGCCACTAGTTTTGTGTACATAATTTAGGTAGTTAGACCGACACTATCCATGCCTTTTCTCCAACAGGGCTCTCCTGCCTGGGAGGTTTGAATAGTAAAGCTGGAACTTATTACA